CCTATATGGTCTATCAGGGAGAACATGCTGAAGATGCTCACCCCATGATAGATCAGGGGGGTGGGATCCAGAGAATGATCTTCTCAGTAACAGCCCCCTCCCTCTGGAACAGGATGTTCCTTGAATTCAGGTTGCCCCCCACCCCTCCCTTTTGTCTTTCAGGAAACTGTGAAGACAGTCTTTTCCTGTAGGGCATTCAGACACAGCAATTTTCATTTAGGACAGCATCTGATTTTATTTGCAATGTTGTATTATTTTTCATGTGGTATATGTTGTATACAAATATTGCTAATCAATAAATAAAACAAGTCTTTGGCTGCTACATATCTTGCACATAGAGCTCTAGGGACTTACCTGCTTTCTCTACCTATTGATAATATCAATTGGGTGATTGCCATTTCCCTGATATTGAGTAATAGTAGTAGAGTAATAAACGGAACAGGAACCGTGATCAGCATTAGAGTTTCTTCCTTCTTCAGTGATCCTCATCAAGATTGATCAATCCTACATTTGATATCTTCTCCCTTTTACCTCTCCCACAACCACTATCTCTGTAACTGTTGAAGCAACTAGAAGGGCAGCTCCTCTACTTAGAGGTCTGTTCTTCAAAATCACAAAATATGCCTCCATGAGTTGAGGAGGAAATTGACAGAACTGGGATTTGGAGAGACACTTGTGGGATCTTTTGCCTCACGTGACCTGCCTTGGGTGCCATGGTTTTGCCTCGAGTGACATCGCTTATTGCTCTGCTTCAGGCAAGAAAATAGCATGGGCTGGCCCAAGAGCCAGTCATGTTGCAGTATATGAAAAGAGAAAAGTGAGAGTCTGATTATCATCACAAAGTGAAAAAGGATCCATGTTAATAACATGGCAAAGAAAATAACTTAAAAGAAGTATTTCAACAATATCTTTCAAGACAACAGAGAAATGCTGTGAATAAAAGAAGGAGGCTGGAATCAGGCAACATCAGTGAAGGGTCTGTCCGTCAACAGGGAAGCTATTTATCTTACTAGCAATAATGTAGGCACCCAGAGAGGGCCCAACAGTTCAAAGGACCCACCAATACTATACAATATACACCCACCCATCCATTCATTCATCCAATTATTTACTGATTAGATTTATATTATTTTATAGTAATTTTATTAAGGTACAATTGACAACAATAAAAACTAATACAAACTAAAAAGAAAGAAAAGAAAAAAAGAAAATGCAGAGAAAATAGTAAATGCAGAAAAAATAAGAATATAGTAAAGAAAAAGAAAAGAGATATATAAAGAAGCGACTTCACCCTTCATCACAAGTGTAAACAATTTTAATAACTTATCGCCTTCTCTTAAAATACAACCAATGATCTTTTCTTTCCATATCCCACCTCTTATCTATAAACAAATCCATAAAACCTCATCATTTTAGTCCTGGTGTCAGCAAAAGTCCATTAAGGGTTACCAGAGATAACAACATATCTATTTTAACGTTAATCAGATAAACCAACTTTATATTCCTTCCATTTACTTCTAACAATCTCAATCTTTAGTCCCTTTGAATAATGTCCTAGAACTTGATTTCTTTTCATTTTTTCTTTGTCCCTTCTCACAAAGTTCTTCAAAGCTTTAACAAGCTCTTTTGTAAATCCAATATAGGAAAATTATCCAGGTCACTCTCTTGGTTTGTTATTTGTTCGTCCCTTTGAATTATTAAGACATCAGCTGGTTTCTTTTTTATGTCCAGTGGAACATCTTTTTCCATGTCATCCTTGTAGCCTGTCATTTTGAAATCCACTTTCAAATCAATGTCAATCATGTCAGGTAATATTTGTTCTTCTTCCATAGCATCTTTTAAACACAGTCTATCTATAAAGGCAGATATTGTTAAAATTAAATTCTGGGTCCATCGTTCAAAAATATCCTTCAGTATGTGCAATGTTAAAG